CATACAAATTCTGGTTAAAAATAAATCTGTGTTAAATAACTCTTCCATTAGTCTCCTCTCTAACCTGTCAGATATTATTCAAAACAGGTATTGGAATAACAAGAAAAAACCACTGTTACATTAATCAATAATAACTTCAAATCACTTTTATATATTCAAACTCACAGTTAGGTGTGTTTTATTTGGATCACTGGAGCGTTTAAACCTTTCAGTTTTTTAAGACCAAATATAAACAGTCATAAACCCTAAACATCAATAACATGAATTGACCTTGAAAAATATGTGTATTAATTACCTAAACGAATAGTACCCGACTTACCTGAGGATACTTACAGATGGTTCGCAAGATAATTTCGGAATCGGGTGTTCAAATTACAATATACTGAACGGTATGGCAATAAGGTTAAAAATCAATGCAATTATTTCATAGAATGAATTTTATTTTTATGGAAGCCGAGCTTTTGGCAATCTATAATTTATCCTACATACAATCAAATAATTATAACAATGTCGTTATCTTAACAGATTCAAGGAGTGCGCTTCAACACCTTACTCGGTGTACTTCAGTTTTTCCAGGCTTACCAGTACCATATGCGAATTTAAAGCTACTAATTAAATTAAAGGCTGATTCCAAAATAGTATATTTACGGTGGATACCTTACCACATTGGCTTAGAGGGTAATGAAAAGTTGATATCTTAGCCAAGCAAGCCATTTCTGATGACACTGATATAGAGCGATATAGATATTACCCCTTCATTTGAAAATGACAACTTTATTGAAAAAATATTGTTTTGATCCATGGAAAGAATATTTTAACGAAAGCCCAAAGGAGAAGAGTATATGGTACCTTACGATCCAGCCGCACTGCTCGCTCAACCTGGATAAATAACTGACCGACTATTGTGTAGACGCGACACTGTAACAGCATTAAGCCTCGGATCTGGACACATTCTATGCAATGAATTTTTACACTTGATGCAAAAAAATACCTTACCAAATTTTTTAACTTGCAATGTTATCGATGATGTTTATCACATTTTGATAGAATGTGTCTAAAACTCCAGAGAAAGAAAAAATTGTAATTTACATTTGTCATTGATTGGTAGTAGGAACAGTATTTTATTAGACCCGTTATCAAATTATGCCAAAAAATCTTTATTTGTTACTACATAAGAGGTTAAGTAATTAGTAAGATTAATAAGTTTCATCATCATCATCATAATTACAGCCCTTCACAAGTCCACTGCTGAACATAAGCCTCTCCCAAGTAATGCTACAAAGCACGGTCCTGAGCCACCTGCATCCATCGACTTCCTGCATGTCTTACCAGGTCGTCACTCCAACTAGTGGGGGGTCGCCCTACACTACGCCTACCGGTACGAGGCTGCCACTCGAGAACCTTTCTTCCCCATCGGTTATCGGTTCTTCGAGCTATATGGCCGGCCCATTTCCACTTCAGCTTACTAATCTGTTGGGCTATGTCGGTCACTCTGGTTTTACTGCGGATATCCTCATTTCTGAGTCTATCACGCAGAGAAACTCCGAGCATAGCCCTCTCCATAGCTCACTGAGGGACCTTGAGCGTCCTCATACGGCCAGCAGTGAAGGACCACGTCTCTGATCCGTAAGTCATCACTGGCAACACGCACTGGTTGTACACTTTAGTTTTCAGAGATTGAGGTATACCTGACGAGAAGATGTGTCGTAATTTCCCGAATGTTGCCCAGCCGAGTTGAATCCGTCGATTGACCTCTCGGTCGAAGTTGGACTTACCTAATCGGACTATTTGTCCTAGGTATACATACTCGTCAACAACTTCGAGCATAGTGCTCCCCACAACTACTGGCATAGGTGTGACATGGACATTGAACATAATCTTTGTTTTATCAATGTTCATCTTAAGACCTATCCGTTGGGAGACACCATTGAGGTCATTGAGCATAGTGCTAAGGTCCTCCAGCGATTCTGCCATAAGGACTATACCGTCGGCAAATCGAAGGTGAGTGATGTACTCGCCATTGATGTTAATACCGTATCCTTTCCAGTCCAGTAGCTTGAAAACGTCTTCCAACGGAGCGGTGAAGAGTTACGGGGATATAACGTCACCCTGTCTTACACCTCTCTGCAGTTGAATAGGTTTCGAACTCTGGTTCTGTACTCGGATAGCCATCGTAGCCCTACTGCAAAAACACTTCAGCACCTCGATATACCGACAGTCAACTTGGGACCGCTGAAGGGACTGTAGCACCGCCCAAATTTTGACGGAATCAAAGGCCTTCTCATAGTCCACATACGCCAAGCAAAGTGGCAGATTGTACTCTTCAGTCTTCTGTACAATCTGCCGCAGGGTATGTATGTGGTCTATGGTACTGAAGCCTTTTCGGAAACCGGCTTGTTCGGGAGGCTGGAAGTCGTCGAGTCTGCGTGCGAGACGATTCGTAAAGACTCTCGAAAACAGCACGTAGACGCGGCTCAGAAGGGAAATCGGTCTGTAGTTCTTCAAGAGAGCGTTGTCGCCTTTCTTAAAGAACAAGACCACCGCACTTCTGCTCCACGCCTCCGGAGTAGTGCCACCATGGAGGACGGAATTGAAGAGCTTCTGAAGGACTTCAAGTACCGGTGTTCCACCCGCTTTCAGAAGCTCCGCTGTAATTCCATCCTCGCCTGTGGCCCTGCCGTTTTTAAGGTGCTGGAGAGCCATTCTAATCTCGCTCGGACTGACGTCCGGGATATCATCGTAATAGTGTCGGGTAAGACTTGCTCTTGTATCGTTACTCACACTTGCGTGTGGCTCAACGATGATGTGTACAGCTGCCCATAGAACCTCTCAATCTCACTCAAAATCTCAGGTGTCCCGGAAACGATGCTGCCACACTCAGTCTTCAGCTTTGACAGTTGGCTTTTCTGGCAGACAGATCTCTGGCAAAGACTTTGGAGCCCTGGTTCCGCTCGATCGCTTCTTTAATACGAGCAGTATTAAAGTTGCGTAAGTCTTGCCGCATGCATTTGGAGATCTGTCTGTTCAGTTGCCTGTATGCTGTCAAATCTGTTGACGATTGCAGCCTCATCTCCCGTCTAACAGCCATGAGATTAAGAGTGTGATCGGAGAGTTTTTGTGTTCTTTTGCGGCTGGTCTTGCAGAACTTAGCTCCGACCGCATGGACAGTTTCCACGAGCTTGTCATTCATATCGTACACTGCATTGCAATCTTCTAGGCACTGAAAGCGGTTACGTAACTCGAGCTGAAAAGTCTCGGGATTCTGGATTAGAGCACGAGGGGGACGGAGCGTTGACTTCATTAGACGAGACCTCTCCAACTTAACGTTTAGGTTCAGTGTGCCTCTAACCATTCGGTGATCGCTGCCGGTTTTCACCCTTGCGATCACTGAGACATCACTGAACAGTTGGCGTCTGGTCGTCATAATGAAGTCAATCTCATTTTTTGTCGAACCATCGGGGCTCGACCAGGTCACTTCAAAGAGTTCATCATAAAGAGTCCCTCTTTCTCCATAAAGTCAGCCAGCTGCTGGCCCCTACGGTTGCGTTGCCCTACTCCAAATTTCCCTAACTTTCAGCTCACCGCCTTCTCTTGTGCCTAGCTTTGCGTTGAAGTCTCCCATCAACACCGTATAGTGGGTTTTGGAGGAATGCATGGCTCTAGAAATATTCTCATACATTTCCTCCACCTCATCGGGATGTGCCGAGGTTGGTGCGTAGACCTCTATGACCTTCAGCAAATACCGTTTGGTGATTCTGAGTATCAGGTACGCGACCCTCGTCGACACACTCCCAATCTTTACAAAGTTGTTGACGAGAGACTTGTGGACGATAAATCCGACACCTCCTTGAGACAGATGGTCGCCCTCCCGGTGATAGAACAAGTTTCCGGACTCGAGGATTACCGTGTCCTCCCCCTCTCTTCGGACCTCAGATAATCCAATAATATGCCAGCGCAACTTGTCTACCTCTTCTTCCAGCTCCAGTATCTTCTCGTCAGTCCTCAGGGTGCGTGCGTTATACGTTGCCAGGTCGAGTCGTCGTAGGTGGCAACCGAACCTCCACCGGAAATTCTTAGCACCCCCTGCCCCGCCGTTACCATGGTCGCCACCGTAGCCAGGAATCCAGGAATAGCGGGGCCGCCGGGGACTGGGGGCCGTTTATTTGTGTCGTTGCTCATGGGGGGATATTTGCCATAGTTGCCACGCTTGGCGAGCGGGTTGGCAACCGCAGTTTTTTATAATGTTATTGTTGTTATTAGGAAGATGCTGCTGCCCATCTCCTTTCTGTGTCCCTCTGTCGCCTCTTACGACACACACGGGAAGATATGGGGTAGTGGATATTCTCAACTGCCACTACACGGCTTAATAAGTTTATTTGTCAGTAATTACTCTATTTAAGATTTTTTGTTGTAATTACCAGGGCGTCATAATCGCATCAGCGACAAATCCCTTTTTCTATGTATAAAAAAAACTTTCTTTTTTATAGCATGTTATTCATTATTTAAGTAATAATGATAAATTAAAATAATTTAACATTGGACTAGGAGCGTGAACGTCGCATAACCCCCTATTGAGCCCGAGAAAAACCAGCACTGAAAGCATATATAAGATGACATGCCGCGCGGCTGTGACACATGTTAACGGGTGAATCCGCGGGGCACAGCTAGTTAAAGTATAAAAAAATAACTTTATCTTGTGCTCTGATCATAAGAACAACGCCCTTTTTCTCTCACACCTATGTACAAATAGGTCAGCTCAATTGAGGAAGAACCACACTTTCACAGAATACCAGCATGAAATAACCTACTAATAAAATACGTGAGATATAGTATAACCAAAAGTTTTGAAAAAATTTATTTGTTTTAAATTACTCCAATATTTCATATTCAATGTCATAATTTTGTCAAAATTTGGAGTGCTTTGCATTTGAAATAAGCTGGGAAAGTTTCTAGGGATGGCCTGCAGGGTCAAACAAATTTCTTTATAAGATCAGTCTTACTTTTTCTCATTGTTCTTGTCATCAGCCTCTGAGTCAGTGTCGGTCTGCGCCGGTCTCGAAGTGTTGGCCAATCTGCTAGCTCGAGCTGAGAATGACCTGGTCAATTTCCTTGGCATAGTACCCACTGCTGACTCGCCAGAGTCCCCACTTTTTGAAGTTGTTTCCTTCTGGAAAAATAACAATTGGCTGATTATGAGAATGTTTTGTATCACTTATTATATTCAGGAACACCTATTTACGAGGCAATCTATCAAGAAGAATTATGTTCAGGAGTAAAATTTTTATGAGCTGTAATGTTAATAGTAATTACTATTAAGGGATTAGACAGAAAACTACAGCAGCATAAAATGCGGCGCAACAACACAACTCGTGATCGCTACCTGCAGGCCTCTACAGTCAGATCCAGGTCCAGGTCAGGTACGTATATATGTACAATTATGGCAGTTTTAATGGGCTATAAGGAATTAATTAATTTGTTTTTCACCAACAACAATTTTTACTGGAATTAGAGAGAAGGACATCTTTAGAATATATAACTCAATTTTAGCTCAACAGTGAATTACATTGTATTGCGTAAATGTATCCCTTTAAATGCTAAAAAATTTACCTTATTTGTAACAGATGCTGGCTTCGTTTTTCCAGTTTTTAAGGTTTCTTTCTTTGAAGATGGTTCACTGTCACTTTCTGAAGAAACAGACTCTACAGAAGACTGACTTGATGAACATGATGAAGCACTTTTATCTTCCACTGCTTTTTTAGCTGGTGGACCACTATTTCTACTGCTTCTTCTTTTAGTGTTTTCTTTTGTGGTAACATCTTCTGTCTCTGCAGGAGGTGTTGGTGAAGGAGGTGTTTCTTTTTCATTGCTCGCCTTTCTAGTGACTTTCTTGTTAGTAGGAGAATCTTTCGGACTTGTTTTGGATGATTTACTGTCTTTGCTCTCAGATTCCGATTCTGAACTATTGTCAGGTGAAAATATGCTTTTCTTTTTTAATGTATTGGAGTCGGATTTAGGTTGTGTTTTAGGTATTGTTTTCGAAATTGCTTTTGCTTTGGCGCCAGTCGATGTTCGAGGTGCAGGTTTACCTTTAGCTAGGACTGTTGCAGCTGATTTTGGTTTAGCTGACCCCCTTCTCCTAGGTGGAGCGGGTTTAGGACTCGCCGGTTTAGGCGCGTCTTCCTCGCTTGAAGATGTGGTCTTTGTTTTAGACGATCTTCTAGGCTTCTGATCTTCTTTCTTCTTTGGTTCTTCGGTTGCCTTTGTAGGTGATTTAGGTGGGGTAGTGGTGGCGGTAGCAGCTGGAGTATCAGACGCTGACGACTCAGAGTCCGAACTACTTGAGCCAGACCCTGAACTGGTGGAAGAGCTCTCGCTGCTGCTCGAATCGGAGGAAGATCCTGAGCTACTTTCCGTGCTACTATTGCTGACCTGGAAATGAAAAAACAATTTTCCAGTAATTTTACTTCTATGTCTTCTTCTTAATCAGCATGTAATAGTAGACTACTGTATATGGACAACTATCATAATAAGAACAATTTGACATAAAACAGACAGGTTACAAATCCCTTTTAGATGGCAGAGCCAACGTGCAGCAATGATTGCAGCACAAGTTTGCCGGATCCACCACTGAAGGATCAAGGGCTGCATTTCGTATTGTGAGTCAACCTAAGACCCTTTCTACTTAAAATTTAAAAATCCTTATTCTATTTTAAAAAAAAACTGTTTTACAGCTTTGACACACCGCTAAAGAAAATTAATCATAAAGTGAACATTCTAAATGGATAAAATTAAATGTGATAGTGTAAAATGTAATAAAAGTATAATAATAACATCATTCCTAATATTATCTCTGTTTAAAATAATGGAAATGTTACAAAAAAAAATAATCCAAAGATAAATTAAAAATAATACATATTTAGTATCTTTTATTCAACACTCTTTCTATGTTATTCTAAGGCAGTGTTTAACTAAAATCCAACCTGATGGTAAGTGGTGATGTAGCCTAAAACGGTCAAGCACACTGCTTAAGAAAAGGCTATTCACTCTCGCCTTGAAGACACACATATGTAATCGGATGGAAACACAGACGCTGTAAACTTTTTCCACTCCTTCGCTGTATGGATTATCAACGATGTAGCAAATGGTTTGGTTCAAATGTGTGGAAGGTCAACAACGAAAGGGTGTAGACTGACTGAAAGTCTCATTGTCCGATGGTGGAAGGGGGGAGGGGGCAATACCTGCGCACACTCTCTGAAATGCATCGTGTAGAAAACCGAAAAACTGGCTATTTTACGTAGTGATGGGCCGAATATTCGTTTTGTATTCGGTATTCGGCATATTCGGCAGCTTTACCGAATATTCGTATTCGGCCGAATATTCGGCTAAATCACAGAAAATTGAAATTGAAAAGCAAATTGAAAGCTTGATAAAATGTTTTTGGAATCAAAAAAGAAACATTAAGTACATTACATTAGTACATTTGACTTTACTTTGGTCTCCAGTTTCTCTAAAATAAGTCCAAATATTAGATTTCCTGCCAATCATTTTTATCATATAATTATCAATTTTCACTAAGAATAACACAACGAAATACTTTTTTTTTCACAAAAATAGTCAAAACGTGAGCAAGTGCTAGCAATTTGCTCATTAGGTACTAGATGATGGAATAACATGTCAGGTGTGGCGGGGGAACGAAGGGCAGAGTCCGGCGCTAATCCTGCGCGTTTTACGGTAAGAAGTTTCAACATAAATTGGTTAGATACCGATGTGATCCTGCCGAATAATGTTCGGCCGAATATTCGGTTCGGTAAAAGTTTTACCGAACTTTCGGCCGAATATTCGTATTCGGTGAAATCTATGTTCGGCCCATCTCTAATTTTACGCCTGTTCTCGAGGCTGGTAAGATTGGATTAAACCAAATTTGTGTCACCAATAAGCCTCTTAGCACGCCTTTCCATTGGGTCCAAAGCTGCTAGGTGGTATTTTGCAGCCCCAGTCCATATATGGCTGCAATACTCCGTGCACAACCGGACTTGTGCTTTATATAAAGTGAGCAGCTGTCTTGGCATGAAGTATCGCCGGACCTTTGCAGGGACTCCTAGCTTCCTTGCAGCTGCTTTGGCGTTGGAATCAATCAACTGTCTGAAGTTCAGAGTTGAGGATATCACAATCTTCAACAACTGACGGCGGTTAATTTATTCCAAAGATACATTTCAGAAAGAATGAGCCAAGATGAGCTGGCTCTTTTTTGCAGTGAAGAGACACGCTTGTGTTTTGGAGGCGAATTTCACAAGATTAGCATCACCCCATTCGGAGACTGCTTGTAGTGTGAGATTCACACGCTCTACCATAACTTCTCTTTCGGACTAGATTTGATCCCGACTGGCCTGAGGACTTGGTTGGTATTTCTCCACAACTGCACTATTGTCTACATACCCATAGATACCAGGCATAAGAAGATCATTAAAAAACTTTTGGTTAATCCAAATGTATGCCTTAAGCGCTTATGTTATATATCAATTTTGTATGTTCAAGTATTAATACACACAAGTTTTCGCTAATAACCTTATTACTATTATTTCTAATATTTGATAAATTTTGTCAAACGTCAATAAAAAAAGACTTTAATGTTCATATGATCGTGAAAAAATGGAGAAAAAAATTCTCTTTATATATAAATCCTAGTTACTTTTAGCGAAACAATATATTGTGAAAATCTGTGATTACAAAAATTATAATAATATCTTACCTTTGTCAAGTATGTACCAAATTTGGTTTTTGGAATATTTTGTATTTCTACATCGATCGATTATTATTCGATATTTTTCATCATGAGCCGCTGTAAACAAATGATAGAATAACCCACTCATGATGGTGGCCGAGCCCGGAGTGAGTCAAGGTGTATAATATCAGTTTCTGCCTCCATGGGAATTTGACCTGGAGACTGTGGGGACGCCCGAACCCCCCACAGATCACTATCGGGTCCTCTCACAAGCTCACTAACAGGCACGATGGAGCCACCCTGGGTTTTTCGATAGTTAGCGGGGCAGCCTTTTATAAATAGCTAAATCACTAATTGGGTCCCCAAATACCTGAGGTCGCCCAGTGGAACACCATGCTTCGATCCCACTACCGTCCACAACAAAGCACCTGACTCAGCAATAACCGACGCTTTGCACCCAGTTCACACACACAAGGCTACTATTTAAAACCATTCTCCATATGGCTTTACTAAGTATCATGCCGGAACACAACATCATTTGTCAACAAGACTTCGCATTGACAGATGGTAACCAAAAGCCAGCGGCTGAAACCTGCTTCAAGAATCGGTGCTGCTTGTTTAGCACTACCTGGGGGACATGTGTCAGGGAATCAGATGTCAAGTATTTCCTATGGACGCAAGCAGCCTCATCCCAAATACACATAACATAATTGCAACAAAAATTTATAACTATTACCTCTTACTTACTTCTTGCTAACTTTAATTGCGTACTACTCTATGTCTACAAATATGATAGGCAGTTAACCTAAAGAATTATACTATCTATTCTTTTTACTACTATACTATCTATTGTTTTTATAGATAAATAAACAATATAGATTTCTAAAATGCAATATCTTATGTTAATAATTTATATTTAGACTTAAAATTTAAATGTAAAATACTTCTTTTATCTGAAAAAATCATTCCGAGAGAAAATCTAAAAAACTGAATTACTATTCTCATAGTAAAAACCAAAGGAGGATATTGCTATTTAACTTTTAACAGGTAAAGATAATATCAACTCTGTAGTTTTTTTAATTTATGAGCAACACTGACAAATAACCCAACTCATGATAAGTGGCCATTGTAACCTAAATATTTTGATTCTTTTATTACAGACCCAAGACTAATATTTGACAAATCTTCAATTTCCTAGCTTACTATACTAAACACAGCAAATTTGATATAGATTAACATTGCTATTATATAAGGGTCTTCCTTACCGGGCTCAGCTACATTGTACACCAAAATGTTCAACATCAGGATTGTTACAAAAACAGTTTAATTTATTTGGCAATAAAACATATTTGTAGGAAAATGTATACAGATTTTTAGATATCAGGTTAGATAAATAGTTAATCTTAAGTATCACATTATGCCGCCGAGTAATCTTTTATTTGAATCATAGTAATATTAACATTGAAAGTTGAGATAAAATAAAAAACAACACTTACGTCGAGATTTGTCATGGTTTTTAATTTATAAAGTGAAAACTAGAAGAACTTAATAATTCGATAACTTCGTTTAACTCTCTTGATAATGTTTAACTTATATTTTGGTTTTTTAATACAGCTATTTAAACAAAATAAAAATATAAACGGCGTCCGACACCAATGCCAACAAATTTGACATATGGATTTGACAATTCGTTATTGACACTTGACATTGTAAGTTTTTTTTTATTTATTAAGATTTTTGGCGTAGATGCTTATTCTTTGAAAAATTAAGATCCCGAATAAAATGACGACATTTTATTCGGCATCTTCCTTTTTATAATATTATCTTCACCATTGACGATACATCACATTGCGAAGTTTTTGAGAGATTTTGACGATAGCCCATAACAGCGGACAGCCTCGGTGACGACAGACACTCAAGTTCATAAGGCACCTAAGCGATCAAAATAACTTTAGGTTCATATCAACATCGAAGCACTTGTTTTGTCGTTTCCTCTAATATATAATAGTTCACATGCGCAGATAATAAAAAAATCAACCGCACACCGCCGCCCGCTTCGCCCGTGCCCATGAGCTCTGATGATACATCGCAGACGCGCGCAATCGACGCGATAGAATAGACGACAAAACTTCACTGTGAATCTGCGCCTGATATTCCATGGCTTACGTTAAATGTTACTGAGCGTAAAAAAAGGAAACACGATGGAATAAATCCTAACATTATGTCTTATATGAGTGAAATGTTTTCAGTTTATACGAATGAACAAACAAAGCTTTTCAAAGATTTACAAACTATAGTTTCTAGTATAAAAGAACAGAACGATGAATTAAAAAAGAGCGTCGATACTTTGTCAAACAAGAATGATGAGTTTCTATTACGGATATCCATTCTAGAAGTAGATAAAAAGCAGGATAGATATATTATGCAACAACTACAGGAGAAAATGGAAAATATGGAAAGGAAGTCTAGATTTTCAGGAATAGAAATAAGAAACATACCTAAAAACAATGAAGAAACAAAATAAAATCTATGTAGCACTGTTGAAAAATTAGGGGAGTGTTTGAATGTAAATTTGCGGGATTCGGACATAAAATACGTGTATAGAACTAATTCTAAGACGGACTACGACTAAGGACTGGACTAGACCGATAATAGTGAAATTTAATTCTGTCATTATTAAAGGAAACAACATGTTAAAAGAAGTAAAAAGACTTAATAAAACAAAACCAAAATAAGAAATTAAATACTTCGCATCTAAATTACTCACAAAAAAAACATCCCTATATATGTCACGAAGTCTTTAACACAAAAAACTCAAAAACTTTTCTATCAGGCCAGAATTTTCCAAAAAAGTCATAAATATTTATTCCGCTGGACATCTAGAGGCATTGTATACTTACGCAAGAATGAAAATTCTTCTCAAATTAGAAAAAATAATGAAACAGGTCTAGAAAATCTACGGAAGACGTAATGAATAGTTTTAAGCTTTAGATTAGATATTTTCGCATCCTTTCTTTTCCTTTTAACTAGCGTAATAAGAATAAAGTATATTCTAACCCTATACCTTATAATACATATACAATACGTTGCTTTGTTTTGTACAATGTACACGGTATCACTTATTACACAATGTCCTTACAATACACGGTGTTAACAGAGATGTTGTCTGCTCGCCGGTTACAATCCAACTGCCCGATGTTCCCAAAGCGGGGGGTATTTATACACTAGTAGCGATGACTCATTAGACGATTGTCTATACACTACATTTCTTCCTTTTTCTTAATATTTTTTATTTCTGTTTCCATGCATTATCAATAGTTGATTTTTCTGTTACAAAAATAGTTTAAATTAGTCTTCAATAATCATCCTAATTTCATCAGTGTTATTCTCTATTACTTCTTGATGCAAATTGAGTAAACTTTCTTCTTGTTCATCATTAACTACTCTCCACTCTCCTTCAAATTTTTTTAAATGAACCACATTTCGTCGATACTGTTCATTTGTATCATTATTGCGAATCACTACGTCTCCAGTGTTGTTAGTAGTTTTTACAACAGTATGTATAGCTGGAGAAAAGCTTGGTGTAAGCTTATTTTTTTTTTGGCGAAATTTTTTACAACTACCTTTTCGCCTTCATTTATGTTGTGGCCTTTTGCCTTTCTCTTGCGGTCACTGTAAGTTTTCCTGCTTCTTTTTGTAACGCGTCTCTGTCTCTAACTTCTGAATTTACTTTTTTATTATCAATATCTATGTATGATGGAATTTTATCCCGAAATTGCCATTTGTAGAATAGTTCGGATGGAGTTTTACCAGTTACTGAGTGGGGTGTGCTGTTGTACATCATCAGATAGTATAATAAATCTTTTCCAATTTTTTTCTTTCAACCTGACTGATTTTTAAGATTTAACGTTTTAGGATACTTCGGTTTTGTCTTTCCACTTCTCCATTCTGTTGGGGCCAATATGGTATTGTGCTGTGAAGAGTTATACCACATTCCTGCAGGTAATTTCTAAACTCTTGACTAACAAATTGCCTGCCATTATCTGCAGTGATGGTAACTGGATAACCACGCCGTGAAAATATCTCTTTTAAAAACCTAATAATATCATGTGACACTGTTACACTTTTTGTCACTTTTACTTCCTTATAACGACTGTAATAATCAACGATAACTAACAGGAAATCTCCAGAGGGCAAAGGTCCCATTAAATCGATAGCTACATCAATCCATGGTTCGACCGGTAGTTCACGACGCTTCATTGGATTAGGTGGATTTGGTGCAGATACTAATGTGCAACTTTTACAGTTTCTTACGATTGTTTCTGCGTCTTTGTCAATTTTAGGCCACCATACTTTTTTCCGTAATCTTTGTTTCATACAAACAATACCAGGGTGACCCTCGTTAGCGGCTTGCAATACTCGCCGTCTTAATTTTTCAGGAATAACAATTTTTGTACCTCGAAGTAAAATATTATTTTGGAAACAAAGCTCTGATTCAAATACTTTATAATTTGCGATGGTAGGATCCCAGGTATACGAGTATAAGCCTTGCCTTACTTTAGCTATTTCGGAATCCTACTTGGAAAATTGTTCAATATCGTTGAGTGATACGGCTACGGGTCTTGAGTATTCAATTATATTCCTGATATGATCCTCATTAAAATAACGTATTGTATTCACTGAATTATGTTTAGAAGTACAAAGTCTTGAAAGGGAGTCAGCTATATTCGATTTACCTGGTCGGTACACTATTTTGTAATTATAGGCTTGCAATTGAAGAACCCATCTTTCGATTCGGGCGCAAGGCTTAGATCTTCTTCCGAAAATAATTTCTAATGGTTTATGATTTCTTATCAGTTCCAACTCACTACCTTTACCATAAAGATATATTCGAAAATGTTCTACAGCCCATACCAAGGCTAGCGCTTCCTTTTCAGTTTGGCAGTAACGCTTTTCACAGTCTGTTAAACTCTTATTTCCAAATGTATATTCCAAATTACTCTAGGTCCTTTTGAATTAATTTGGATAAGCACCGCCCCTAAACCAACAGGACTAGCATCGGCAATAACTTGGGTCTTGTCTGCCGGATCATAATATCCTAATGACTGCATATTGCATAGAGCTTTCTTCATTTTGTAAAATGCGTTTTCCTGGTCTGTAGTCCAAAATTTTCCAATATCCGCATGTTTTCCCAGCTTTAGCCTTAGTATTTTCCGGAACGGCTCAGTGAGTGTCGCCAAATTTGGTATCCATTTCCCAACAAAATTTACTAACCCCAAGAAACTTTGTACTTCCTCGATAGTTGATGGTGCTCTAAACATTCGGATACTCTCAATGTACTTTTTTAAAGGTCTTACACCTTCACTAGATAACTCATGCCCCAAGAACACTATTTTGTTTACTTTGTAAATACACTTATCATTGTTTAACAGAACATTGTTTTCTTTCAAAATATTTAGTGTCCGCTGTAATCGTTGATCATGCTCTGCCTCATTTGATCCAAAAATGACAATATCGTCAAAAAAATTTACTGTACCTTCACACTGTATAATAGTGCGTTCCATGATTTTCTGAAACATTTCTGGGGCACAGGAAATACCAAACATAAGTCTCTTGTATCTAAATAACCCTCTGTTAGTTATAAATGTAGTGATGTATCGGGTATCCGGATGGATTTCGATTTGGTGGAAAGCGTTTTTAATGTCTAGGCGAGAAAATAATTACGCATCTTTAAAATGTGGTAGTAGCTGGTCCATTGTTGGTAGTGGATGACTTTCGCGAATTATTGCTGCGTTAGCTCTTCGCATATCGATACAGATCCTAATATCCCCATTGTCTTTTAAAACAGGCACTATAGGTGAAACCCATTTTGACGGCTTATATACTACTTCGATAATATCGAGCTCCAATAGTTCTTGAATTTTTTTATTGACTTTTTTTCTAGGGGTATAGGTATTCTCCTGTAAGGCTGACTTGTATCTCGACAATAACATCTTTAAATTTTGGAAATGCTGCTATATTTTTATGTGATGTGGACTCGACGGCGTTTACACTGACACCTAATCGCAGAATGCCTAGTGCTAAGGACGTTACTTTCCCCAAGATATCTTTAGTGCAGTTTTTTATCACATAGAAAACAGCAACCTCAATTTTGTCATTGACTTGGACATGAGTTTTAAACGATCCCAAAATATTTAGTGGCTTAGCGCTACCATAGGCGTAAAATGTTTTATCCGGTCATTCATCCATGTCAAAAACATTTACTTTATTCCTCTTTAGTTTTCTCCACGTGACATCGGTTAACAAATTACATTTACATCCGGAATCGATCAATAATGACGTCTTGACACCACCTACCAAACAATTAATATTAGTGTCGTCATCTATATGAAAAACATAATCGATTTCTTCCTTTTCGTCCCTCCTTGCTTTTTTTGTGACTGTAGGATCTTTTGAACTTGAAAATTGTCTTTTAGATGGCCTTCCTGTCAAACAATACTTCCGAAAGTGT